TACGTCGATAGAGACGATTGTACTTGATATCACAGCCTAAGGGTCTGGTATTCTTTATCTTTAGGTTTTCCATCAGCGACACTGCGGCCAACACCATCATCAGCCTCTGGAGTAGTTGATGTAACATCGTCTCCTTCTTCTCAAGTGCCTACCCAGCCACCTTTTACAGGTATGTAAACTTTCTCAAATTTCTAAAAATTACGGTACTCATTTAATTTTTTGATATCAGTCAGTCTAAGCAATCAAACGCACTCAGATTTCGTAGCCCTGGTTTAAGGACCAAACTCAGCCGGGCTCAAACGCTTGGAGGCGAGTTCTTTCAGCATCCCTCTGCAATCCTAGCTTTCCTAATGTTGCATAATTCAATCGAATAACTCACGGCAGGGTTAAAATGAACCCAAGGCTGATACAAAAATTCTCAGCTTTACCTAACTACACTTTTGAATTTCATTGAAGACTTATTCAAAGAATTTCGTTTTTTATCAAAGTAAAACTTCTACAGCGAAAAAAAATAACCTTTTTTATCATTTGTTTGCTTGCAGTGTATCGTTGTTAAAAGATATAACTATCTGTTTAACACTTTGGGATCCTTCTTATTGTGGAAGACACAAAATACGTCACAATAAGTCACAGCCTCATAAACCTATCTTTTTTTCATTCGCTTAAAGGAAAGACTAACAAATGAAACGTCAGCTTTGAAACGTTTTACGGTGGTCAATTAACTTTATCAACTCAGTTGATAAAACCAAAATTACCATTTTACTCCCACCGACGCAACATCACAGTTTCTTTACAAACTTACACCCTTTTTTTTTCGCATTGTTTTACCCACACTTTTCTCGTTTTATTCTCTACTCTAAACATCGCCTGGTTTTTCTACAGCAAGTAAGAGCCCTACTTTGGCAGTCCAAGTTTCATATGTTCGACATTTCCTGCATATTTATTTTTTCTAGGATGTGGCTGGCTACTAAACAGTTCAAGGGGAACATTTGCATCTCCTGGATATCCATTTTCTTACTCAAATAATTTGAACTGCCTGTGGACTCTTCGTATCCCAACCGACAGCGTTTTGAGTCTACAGTTTGAAAGGTTTAACACAGACCGGTGGTATGTACATCCAATAATCATGAGTATAACTGTGCGGGTAGAGAAACTTTCAATATTGTTAAAAGCAAAATCGGCTTCCTTTTGTTTTACCATAATGAGTTCTGATAAAAACTTGCTCCAGCCAGTTAACCAATGAGATGCCAATCTGCGATGAGCTGCGACTTGATCTTTCGTATAAATATTCTTGGAATTCAAAGTGCATTTGTCAGGAAAGACTACTTCCACTTTGTTTACGACCAAAGAGAATTTTCTGACTTTACTTGAAATTTGCCTTAGCACTTGGCTTCCTATAACACTGCAAGGTAAATGTGGCAAAGAAACGCAAAGAAAAACATTTGGAATTAAAAATGGAGCCTAATGGTTTTTCTTTCCTTTCTTTTTCGTTGAAGCTGTGATTTTGTTGAGCTGACAGTCAGCACCGGGCGGTTAGCAAGGCTGAGTGGTTCTAGGACTGGATTCAGTATTACAGTTAGTGGCGATAGAAGTCCAGTTCTTAATATCACATTTACAACTGATAGATCTGTCGTAAGACAAGGTTTCTTCGCTCGCTACAGCATAATATTTGGTGAGAATACAGTAAATTCTTGAAGTAGTTATATATGACTAAGGCTTCCTCTGAGTATATTTGTTGATTCCCCTAATCGTTCGCAAACCTTAGTAGTTCTAGGTAACACGATTTTCCCTATATGAGCATACCATAAAACGAATAACGCCTAGTGAGGCCTATTCACTTTACACGGTGTATGATCCAGGAGTTTCAGAAACTTCCTTCTAATACCGGCCATTACGCCTACAGCGACTCGTACACCTGGCAAGTTATTAAATCACTATTACAGCGTACAAAAGCTGAGAAAGTTGAAGGATACCGAAATAAAAGCGAAACTAAATGACAAAACGAGGTTACTAGGCTAACTGAAAATTAACTTTCGACGTCGATAGAGACGATTGTTGA